ATGCTTTAGCTGAGGGTGAACTCCTAAACTCACTTCCAGCTCAAAGAGTTGATAGTTTCATGCCCTCCTGGAGCTTTTGGTATAACAATAAGGAATGAAAAAAAAAAACTAGATTCCCAGGCAGAATGTGGGAGGTACCACGAGACAAAAGCAAAGGGTTATGGTAGTTCAGAGGAACAAGAGATCACTTCTAGTAGGGGTGAGAAATCCAGGAAGACTTCCTGAAAGAAATCACATTTGGCCTTGAAAAAAGGGAGAAATTTTGAGTATGGAAGGGATATTTTCGGCAGAGGGGACAGGAAGGGGTACAATTTATCTGGGAAATGGCAATAGTCCAGTTCGGTTGGAATGTAGGATAAGAATATCACATCTTAGATTTGGATTTACATACAAGGAAACCGAGGTCTATCAAAGTTACACCGGTCACAGGTAACAAAGGTAGGTTTGAACTCAGATTCTCTGACACCAGAGCCAGTAATTCTTTCTGCTGTACCATGATGTGAAGGGAAGCAGTTAAGAAAGACAGGCTGGGACCACATCTTGAAGGTCTTTAAATGCGAAGCGTTTGGACCCATCTTTTAGGCAGTGACAAGCCATTGAAGGTTATGAGTGAGTCTATCAGATCTTAAGTGTCAAGAAATATTCCTCTAGTTCCATGTGCCGATGGTTTGGAGTAGAGAGAGACTGAAGCAAGGAGAACAGCTCCAGGAAAGATCACAAAGGCCTATCTGAGGCAGGTAGCAGGGAATGTAGAGAGAAAGGTTTTGAGCCTGAGTGATAGGGAGGACGTTGGTGCCATGGACAGAAATGGGCCAGGAAGAAAAGCAGATGTGGGACCTCGGGGAGTGATGTGTTCAGTATGAAGAGTCAAGGGGCCACTCTGGTGGAAATTTACAGGAGGCAGTCAGAAAGATGAATCTGTAGCTTAGGTCAGGACTGGGAATATGGATTTGGGAGCATGAGAAGTATCTATTTCTACCTATGGCTCTCCCATCCCTTCCCTGTTAATGAGGCAGCCAGGTGGCACAGTGGTCAAAGTAATGGATTTGGAGTAAGGAAGACCTGAGTTTGAATCCTTCATGAGATACTTACCCGAGAAAAGTCCCTTAACCTTTCTCACCCTCAGTTTCTTCATCTGTAAAATGGGGTAGCACCAACCTCCCAGGGTTGTTGTGAGGGTCAGATGAGATAACATATGTCACCTCTTTGTACACCTTAAAGCAATACATAAATATTAGCTATTTCTACCAGGGTAGTGCTGCTACTACCGAGCCTGGGTTCTTCTGAATTATCCAGCTATTTTGGCCAAGATAGAAACAGCTTTTTTTTTTTGAAGCTGTAACAAAGCTGAAGTACTTCCAAAAAGAATTTATGGAAGGGGGGAACAAAACAGAACCAAAAAAATTACAAAATTCTCTATGAGTTGACAGGACCTTTTCCCAAAATTAGGATGGCCTCTCTTCCCTGGTCAGGATGCTGGCGAGAGCTTATGGGCACTATAGTCGACATTTCTGTTCCTCCTTTCAACTGTCTCTGGAGTGATGGGGAAGAAAGTCAGACTGTAAATGGCCAAGTCAACGTCAGTTAGTGAGTGGTCAAAAAGTGGAGGCAGGGAAGAGAGACAGCTCTCTCCAGAAATGTGGTGGTAAAACAAAGGAGTGAGCAAGGCCAATCTCACTTGAGGGAGTAGCCAGGTTGAGGGGAGGATTTCTTTTTCAATTCAAAGAGACCTGAGCATATTGGTAAGCAAATAGGAAGGAGCCATCGGGAAGGGTAAGGTCTTTAAGGGAGAAGAGATACTTGAAGGAGGCAATGACCTGGAGAAGATTGGGTTCTGATCCCCTTAGGGAAGGAGGACAGATACTGTGGGGCATCCCAGAGGTGATGAGAACATAGGGGGAAGGGCAAGACTTGAACCTTCTCCATGTGCTGGGAGGGTCTTTGGATGTGGCAGCCAGCCCAGCCTCACAGAGCCTCCTTAGGAGGCAGCTGCCTCTACTTACACACACACACACACACACACACACACACACACACACACACACACACACACACATATATATATATATAAAACACTCCTATTTGTGTATCATGTAAAAGTTTGCAAAGTACCTGCCCACAACACATTTTCTCATTTGATCCTCACAAAAACCATGGGGGGGAGGCAGTGCAAACATTGCTATTTTTACTTTACAAAAGAGGAAACAAAGTCTCAGAGAACCTAACTGTCCCCAGGTTAATCTGCTAGTAAAGCCACAGCTTTGGAGTTCAGATTCAGATTTTTTTCCACTCTAGCATATGGCCTCATTCTTCCATGATGCATTAAATTCCTCCAAGTCCAGTGTACCTCGTGGAGGACAAGCCTCAGCAGATTGGAGGCAATGCCCCAAATCAGCCTACCAACCCTTTCACAGGTTTCTTTTGCCAATGGAATGTTCCCACAAAAAGATGGATTCCACCCCTTCCTCTTCCTTCCCATCTCTTTATCTCTATTGCCCTAGGTCACATTCATCCCTATAGTTCAACAACAGATATATACAATTTGAGTGGAGATGCAGACATGCATGTGAGAGACATGGTAGCAGATACCCACAACTGTGTGTAATGAGAACAGAAATACGTGAACTATCCTTGAATACCCCACAGCTAAGCTGAATTCCCACCCCTCCCTTTCCCCCATCCTCTAAAGGTGCCTAGGATAAGCAAAAAAGTTGTATGTGGGAAATGGGGGTGGGTGGGATAGGGTGTTGAAGGGGAAGAATACTCCATAAGAGGGAATAGATTTCTCAGGAGATGCTGGGGGAGGCAGCTGGCTAGCTAGGATCAGGGAACTCAGGCAGCTGGGCCCAGTATTGAGGGCTCCAAATAGATATTGAGTCTTGGGTATTTGGGGGTGGGATAGAAAGGGGAGAGATGAAAAATCCAAATGTTAGCATCCCTCGCCTCCCCCCCCCAAGTGCTCCCTTCCCTCACCCAACTCATCCTGCCAGCCCTGGACAACATCAAGGAAAAAGAAAAAGTCTCCCTTATCCTTTCAAGACCAGCCTATGAAAGGCAGTCTTGCTAAGAGAGAATCACAAACATGACCAGACACACATTTTCACAAAAAAAGCTTCTCTGGTCCTGAAGAGACGGGTCCAAGTTTGCTCATAGGTTCTCCCTATCACCACCTATACCATGCACATAGGCAGATCCTCTCTCTTCCCCATCAGCTCTCTAGGATACCTAAACCTGGGATGAATGGGGGGGAGTGGAGAGGGGGGAGAGCAAAAAGGAGGGAGCAGGGAGTTAGCTTTAATGTGAAACCAAGTAGGCATGCACTTGTTTGTATATGTGACACCTAGCATGCATGTATACGATGGTGTGACTTCGGTGAGGCTGAGTGGCCATGAATCTATATGAGTGTAAGGGGGTAACTGTGGCAGGATGAACCGGGAAGAAAGGGAGAGAACTGAATGTATGCTATGTGAGGGTAGAGGCCCACATGTGGGGGAAAACTGATATACCTGTATGCAAGTATGTCCATGGATCTGGGTGACAGTGGGCACAGCCAGCCAGCCAAGCCAGGAGGGAAAGGCAGGGAAGCTCCAACCAGTCTTCAAAGAGCATTAAGGATCTAGCCCCAAATCATCATCCATTCCCCACCCACTGCCCCACCCTCAAATCCAAACCTGCCACCAGTTCCTATCAGTATCCCTATGCCTCTTCCTACCAGTCACTCTCTGCACTTCACTGCACAACATCCAGCTTCCATACTCACTGACTGCAAGAGAGCATTTGCTTCCCTTCTCTAGCCCCCAGAGCTCAGGTAAAACCCCCAACCAGAGAGGAGAGCAGTTGACCCAAGCAAGAAGCTAGAATCAGGCTTGGATAGGGAGTGATGAAGAGGAGGTGCATCCCTGTTGAGCCAAGGAGCCACAGGGCTAAGTCTTACACAGATGCAGTTCTCCTAAGTGCAGGCAGCACAAACAGCACAGAAGAGGCCCTGAAAACCTGTGCTGCTTGCTGCAAATCCCAAGCCCTTTCTCCAGCTGTAAAAAGCATCCATGTGAAAAATGATATCTGTCCAGTTTCATCCCCTCCCTCCTGTTCCTCAGTCTCCATCTCCCCTAAGTCTGCCTGCCTGCCTTCCTTCCTTCCTTCCTTCCTTCCTTCCTTCCTTCCTTCCTTCCTTCTTTCCTTCCCACTCTCCTTGAGTCTACCATCCTTGAGTCTCCTAAGCAGGTGGTAAATGGGTATCAACATTCCTGGAGGGGTTCTCATTGGCTATGAGCCCAGCAGCTCCAGCTCCCTGACACCCTCCCATCCTCCCTGCCCCGGCACCAACACCTCTCTTCCCCACCCCAACCAACTCGGGGAAACATTGGAAAGGCCATTGGGAAGAAGAGCTCCAAAAGAGAAGGCAGAAACTGGCAAAGGAAGAACAGGTAGTGTGTCCTAACAGGCTCCTCCAAACCCCCCACCCCTATAAGGATGGACAGCATAGGAGCAGAGCGGAGAGTGAAGGAAGAACTGTCAGAAGCTTAATTCGGGAATCCTCTGGGACCCTGTCCATTATCACTACTGGAACTAAGGGGTCATGGACCAGAAAGGCACGGGCTAGGGAAAACTGACTTCTCTTCCTGCCTTTCACGTCCAACCCCCAGGCTACTGCCCCAAACACAAGCGTCAGGCGGGAGGGTTAATCTAGGTTGGTGCCCAGACCCAGCCAGATTCCTGCACAACTTCAAGAGCAGAAAGAATTAGGGGAACAGGGCTACAGGGAAAGAAAACAAGCGACGGAAAGGCAGCAGAGAAGGAAAGAGGGAGGAAGAGGAGTTGGAGACGAGCAAGAGAGAACAGGGGGACATAGGAGAGTGAAGGGTGAGGAAAGCAAGGCTCTGGTGGCGTTCTTGTGGACTCGGAAGTTCCTCCCCATCCCAGTAACGGTCCAGTCCAGTCCTCCTCTCTGCTCTTCGCTGCCCCTCCGGGATAGACTCCCGTCATTCAGGACGACTCACCTCTGCGCTGCGGTGGTGGCGTCCAAGATTCCAGTGCCCTGCATCCAGGAGCGCACCGAGCCGAGGCCGGCAGGGAGCGGCTCCTCTTTCAGGCTGAGCCCTCCTCGGGGCAAGGAGTCCTGCATAGAGAACATGGGACTGCGCTGCAGGCGCCGCTCTGCCTGGCGCCCCGACGGCCCGCACACCGAGCTCCGACGAAGTTGGGGGATAGTCCCCACCCCCACCCAGTATAGCTGAGTATAGGCTGGACCAGGCCAGGCCGGGGCAGGGCAGGGCAGGGCCGGGCCGGGCCGGGCAAGGGGACAGCAGTGGGACGCGCCCGACTCGCGACGGCTTCTCTACTGGCCCCAGCTCAGCGAGAGCTTGGCTTTCCCGGCCGCTCCCTCGGAGAAAGCCGACCCGCTAACAGCAGCGCAGCCTCCTCCCCCTGTACTGGGGGGGCGGGGAGACAGAGGGATTCCCCCGCGGCCACTCGCCGCGAGGGGGGCCCGGAGCAGGGGAAGCAGTGGGGAACTGAAGGGGGGGGAGAAGCAGCAGAGAGGACCTCACAGGGCAAGGATGCGAAGGCACAGGAGTCAGGGATAGGGGAGAGACGCCGCTGAGGTGCAAAGTAGCAATCTCAGTGCTGGGGCGCAGAGGGGACCCTGAATGTAACGGCCAAAGAGGGCTCTGGGCGTGGGGCAAAGTGGGGACACTCGAACTGATACAAAGTGGGGAACCCCGAAAACTCGAAGCAAAGTGGGAAATCCGCGGGTGACGCAAAGTGGGGCTCTCAGGAGTGATGCAAAGTAGGGCTGGCTGAGTTGAGGTGCGGAAAGGGGAGCCCAGCAGGGAGGTTTGCAGCGGTTTGGGAGGAGGAGAGGGATGCGAGAGAAGGAAGCAGCGCGCTAGGGAGGCAGAGGGGAGAAGGCAGAGGGGAGAAGGGGGCAAAGCAGGGCAGGGCAGGGCAGGGCAGGGCAAGGGAGGACAGAGCGGCCCGCCTCGCAGGGCTGCCTGGCGCGCCGAGTGCGGAGCGCTGATTACCATCCGGAAGGCGGAGGCAGCGGGAGCGGAGCTCGGCGGCGGCGGCGGCGGCGGCGGCGGCGGCGGCGGCAGGAGCAGCAGCAGCCGCGCGTCCCGGGGGAGCGGGGGGGGGAGTCAAGCCCGCCGATGCCGCCGCCGCTGCCCGGGCCCCGCCCGCCCCGTCGTCCGGGCCCCTCAACCCCGCTCGGGAACACCTGGAGCAGCAGCAGCAGCAGTCCGGCCGGCTCGCCCCGGGCCCCGGCCCCGGCCCCGGCCCCGGCGCCTCCCGCGGGCCCCGGGCCGACCCCCCTCCGCGGCCGCCGCCCGCCGCTCCCGGGGGCCTGGCCGCGGGCCCGGGCCATCCCGCCGCCGCCGCCGCTCCCTGGGGAGCAGGGAGGGAGGAGGGAGGAGGGAGGGAGAGGGAGCGTCGGGCCCAGGGGACTGGGGGGTGGGAGGGGGGCGGGGGCGGGGCGGCCGGGCCGAGGGGCGGCCGGGGACGTGACATCATTGGGGGAGGAGCGGGAGGGCCAGGGGCGGGAGATGGGGCTTGGGGCCTGGGGCTTGGGCCAGAGCCCGGGCCAGGCCGGGGTGGGGGGGGCCCTGGGGAAGGAGCCAGCCCACCAGCTGCCTTTGGCCACGGGAGAGGAGATCAGGCCCTTGGGGAACAGTCTGGGAGGTGGGAGCATAAGCCAGTGATGGAAAGGGGAGAAAGGATAGAGGGATGGAGAAGGCGAATAGAGGGACCGCGCAGAATGGGGGGAAAGAGGGTAGAAAGGAACCAGTTTTACAGCAGGAGAAAAGTTGGGGGATGGGAGGGGGGCAAAGGAGACACATAGCTGGTAGCAAAGCAAAAGAAGAGGGACTGGAACCGGAGAAGGAAGACACTAGACAGAGGATGAATGGAGGGGGGTGTTTAAGAACAAAGGACAAGTATCAGACAAGGGTCCCACTGAAAACAGAAGAAAACACCTAGTTGGGGACCATAAGGGCAAGAATGAAAGGAAGGGCTGATCTGCAGATAAACTCATGGTGGCCTAAAGAAAGCAGAAATTAGCTTGGGAATAGGTTCAGCCTGAACCCATGGGTTGGGAAATGGACAAAACTTTGCCCCCAGTGAATCCAGGGAAAGCAACCTCAGTAATTTTCCCCCTGTCCCCACCCAGTAAGATGGAGCTAAATCATAACCTTCTTATTACCCAATGGAATGGAGCTCATTCTCACACACCTCCATATACATACATACATACAACACACACCCCCCACTCTTGTCCAATAGCAATGGTCAGTCACACACACCCCTCTTTCAACCAGTAAGAATGGAGTTCATTTACCACCCTCTTCCCTCCCAGTCAGAATGGAGTTCAGTTATACCATCACCCAATTCATCCAATGGTATAGAGCTTAGTCAACCCACCTCTCACCCAATGAAAAGGAGTTTAATCTCACTCACCTCCCAATAAGATAGCTCAGTTATACACAATCTTTCCACCCAAGGGGATGGATTAGTCATGCCCATCTCATTCTCAATGGAATGGAGGTCAGTTATACATACATACGGGCACTCTTTGGGACAGAAGTCAGTCACACACAATCCTCTCAACCCAAAGGTATGCATTTCAGTTGAGCCTAGTGGAATCGAGTTCAGTCATACACCATTGGGACAAAGGAATGGAACTTAGTCACACACACACCCTCTCACCCAATGGAATGGAGCTCAGGTATAAACACAGTTCTCTCACCCAATGGAATAGAATTCAGTCACACCCACTTCTTACTCAATGAGATGGAAGCTCAGTGACACATACCTCTCAATGAACCAGCTTAGTCATACCCACCTCAGGAGCTCACTTATACACACATACCCTTCGGAATGAAGGCCAGTTACATACACAACCCTCTCAACCTAATGGGATGGAGATCAGTTATACATAGCTCTTTAACCCAATGGAAGAGTTCGGCCACATACCTCTCACCCAATTAACTGAACCTCAGTTCTGTGGAATTTAGGCAAAGCCCTATCTAATACATGCAAAATTCAACCAAGGAGCCAAGTATCTCTTTTTTTAAATTAAATTAAATTAATTTATTGTTACATTTTAAGCTCTGAACTGTCACTCTCCCTTCCCACTTTGTACTATAGAAGGCCACCATTTGACACAAATATAGATGTAGACATATGTAAAACCATATTGTACATACTTCTGTTTATTAGTTCTTTCTCTGGAGGCACACAGCAATTTCCTTCAAAGGTCCTTTGTAATTGATTTGAGTATTTATAATACTCAGAATAACTTAGTCATTCAAAATTGTTCTTAGAACAAAGCATGTTACTGCAATACAACGTTCTCTTGATTTTGCTCATTTCACTCTTCATTTATTTCATGCAAGTCTTTCAAGGTTTTTTCTAAATCAACCTGCTCATCATTTCTTACAGCATAGTAGTTTTCCATCACAGTCATATACAACAACTTGAGCATCCCCTCAGCTTCCAGTTCTTTGTCACCACAAAGACAGATGCTATAAATATTTTAGAATATATAAGTTCTTTACCTTTTTTCCTGATCACCTTGGGAAACAGACCTAATAGTGGTATTTCTGGGTCAAAGGATATACACCGTTTTATATAACTCTTTGAACATAATTCTAGATTTCTCTCCAAAATGGTTGGATCAGTTCACAGTTCCACTGCCAATTATCTCTTCTCAATCATGTCTTTATTTCTTCAAAGAATTGCATACCCAGAGTGATTAGAAATATGAGAATAACAGAAATACCATCCTGTCAAATAGTTTTAATAACTCCCATTTATATAGTCCTTTAAATCTGAGAAAGTGCTCTTTCTTTTTTTTTGTAATTCTTTTTTAATTAATTTATTTTGATTTATCAACAATTACTTCTATAAGCTTTTGAGTTTTTTCTCGCCTTCCCTCCCTACCCCCCTCCCCAAGACAGCGCACAGTCTGATATAGGTCATACATATACATTCCTATTAAACATATTTTCACATTAGTGATGTTGTAAGAATTAGAATCAATAGGAGGAGCCACCAGAAAGAAGAAACAAAACACAACAGAAGAAAAAAAATAGCAAATAGTATGCTTCCCTCTGCATTCAAACTCCATAGTTCTTTCTTTGGATGTGGATAGCATTTTCCATCATGAGGCCTTTGGAGATGTCTTAGATCCTTGTATTGCTGAGAAGGGTTAAGTCTATCAATATTGGTCATGGCACAATGTTGCTGTTACTGTGTACAATGCACTTCTGGTTCTGCTCTCTTCACTCAGCATCAGACCATACAAGTCTTTCCAGGTTTTTCTGAAGTTTGCCTATTCATCATTTCTTACAGCATAATAGTATTCCATTACATTCATATGCCACAACTTGCTCAGCCATTCCCCAATTGATGGGCATCCTCTCAATTTCCAATTATTTGCCACCACAAAAAGAGCTGCTATAAATATTTTTGCACATGTGGGTCCTTTTCCCATTTGAATGATCTCTTTGGGATATAGCCCTAGAAGTGCTATTGCTGGGTCAAAGAGAAAGTGCTTTTCCATAATGTACATATTAGTTAGTATAGGTAGTTAGTTCACGTATTTCTCAGATGAGGGACCTGAGTCTCAATGACTTGTTCATGGTGACATAGTTAATAAGTGGCGGAACCTGATCTTAAAACTCCAAGTCCAATGTCCCTTCCACGCTGCCTATAAAATGGTGCACTCAAGATGTTTGCTTTTAATGGACCATGTGCCCCAAACATTCCAGTTTGCTTTAATAATTCATTATAACGCATGATTTTATCTAAGGTCTTCTTGTACTCAGTTATATTTTTCAATCTAAATACTACCTCTCAGAGCAGCAAATTCTAGAATTTATACATTCCATCCAAAGATAGCATGTTGCCATTCAGTCACGTCTAATTCTTCATGACCACATTTGGAGTTTTCTTGTCAGAGTTTGCCTTTTCCTTCTCCAGCTTATTTTACAGATGAGGAAACCAAGGAAAACAGGCTTAAGTGATTTGGCCAGGGTCACACAGCTGACTCCAGGCCCAGCACCCTATCCACTGCACCATCTAGCTACAAAAATAACATGCATGCTACGAGAACATAGACAGGTCTTTCATGGAAAAGGAGCCAAAAGACTAGCTGCCAAAGACGGCCAGGTGACACTTTGATGGGGTGCAAAGTAGTTGTATGAATTTTAGAAAGGAACAAATCACAAAGAAATAGGGTAAAGAATAATAGACCACGCCTCAGTCACTTCGCTGTATCTAGGACGCAGACTCAAAGAGGAGCCCAGCCTCTGTTGGATGGAGGAGGTGAGTGGAGCTGGAGACAAAGGAGCTGAAAGAAGCCTAAGCTGTAGAACCAAAACATTTCTAGTACTGAGATGTTTTGCCAGGACTACCATCTCTAGCTGGGGGCTCAAAGCTAGCACACACACACACACACACACACACACACACACACACACACACACACACACACACACACTACTTCCAGAGTAGAGAAGGGGTATTTGTAACAGGAAACCCATTGGATCAACAATCAGTAAAAGAGCAAGGCGAACCATTTCCATGAATACTACCACAAGTGGGTTTGTCTATGGATGTTTTTCCAACTGTACAGTTGCAAAGGGGTAAGGCTCCTTAAACGTAGGGACCGTTAAATTTTTTTCTTCATCTCTCCAGTGCCTAGCACATTATAGGCACTTAATAAATGTTTTTGATTAATTGTTGATTGATCCATTGTCCTCCACCCTTTAGTCTACAGCCCCCTTGTCCTTTCAAAACCCAGGCCTTGCAAAACCCTGGAATACCTTCACTATCTACCTTCTCTTTTCCTACTCAAGTGCCCCTGAATGCTGCTGGAGAAAGGCACACAACCATGTTGACTGAATCCGTTACAAATTTATGTTGTCTAATCTCAACTGTGCCATAAATACTGTCTGGTAATCCTTTTTTTCCCCCCAACTGACTATTACAGCCTCTGAAAGAGTGGTTCCAAAGTTACTCTTCTCCCCTCAAGCCTGCTGCACCATTTTCCATCCTATCCTTCCGTGTAGAGGAGTTCTGCCTTCTAATTTACTAAGAAAATTGAGGCCAACAGCCAAGAGCTCCTTATCCTTCCCTACCATGTATCTCAAAGCTCCTCTAATGCTTTTACATGATTCCTCATTCTTTTTTTTTCCTTTTATACCAGCCTTAGAGAAAGAGGTAGGCTCTGTCCCTTCTTATTGGCTGTCTCTAGCAGCAGCCCCATCATGC